TGAGTGCATGGAACCGCTCTTTGATCCTAACACGGCCACAAGGACCGTGCACCCCGTCCCCTCCAGCAACGACCAACTGTCTCCTGGAGCCAGTATGGACGAGGTAGTGGGTAATAGACAGGTAAGCACCTTGTCAACATGCACATCAAGCGCAGCCACACCGGAGATATCAAGCAACAGCCAATCACTTGAGTGAAAGATAACAAATAAAATAAATCGGGTAATGCATAAGGAAACGGTGACCTAAATCTTAAATTAATGAGCATATGAAATAAGTTGTTTACAAACGAATCCGAGATAAGTTCAAGAGGTCAGAAAGTATATTTTACGGAAATGCCACAAACACGAAAATGTTATCGAAATTAACTACAATTGGCTTAAGCGACGTGTGCAAGTTTATAGAAGAGAGTACTGGTAGACATTTATATGAGAAAGAAAAGCATTAGGACAAAATTGCAAACCCACCACCTGAAATAAAGAGACTTAGCATGCAAGCACGCGGTTAGTAAATCGAATGCAGCGTACCTACAAACGCTGCGCCGGTTCTGCCTACGTTCTCTGCAGGACCCGTCGTCGCTTCGGTAGTGGTCCCGAGTGGCCTCGCTCATGGCTCACTAGGCCTGCCTGACTCAGGCACTCGCGACCGCATGTGCTACAGCACCATGCGCTCGATGTCGATGGAGTACAACCCATCGGCGCTTGCCGCTTCCGCACTTGCCGCTTCTTCTCTGCATGTATGAGGTCTTTCTCCCGCACTTCGGCAACTGCCTTCGTGATCAGATCGCACCATGCACGCCGATCAACCGCCTTCGATTCCCATGACCTGCAATCAAGATTAGAACGTGTGAGGCTCACTTTGATCATGTCCTGGTAACGTAACTTTGGTTTCCCCACATGCCGCTTCCCAATACTCAGCTGACCATATAATAGTTGTTTCGGTATCCGCGTCGAATCCATACGGCTCACATGACCGAGCCACCTCAGGTGTCTCAGCAAAAGTATGCAGTCCACTGCATACATTCCACTTTGTCGCAACACTTCCGTGTCTGCAACTCTGTCGCCCCAACCGATGCGCAAAATCTGTCGCAAACACTGCTGATGGAACCGCTCGAGATATTGCACATCCCGACGGTACATCGTTCACGTTTCACTGCCGTATAGAAGAACGGACAGCACCATGGATTTGTACACCATCAGCTTCGTGCCAATGGTAAGCTGATGGTTGTTTCACACTCGGTACTCAAGCTTCCCGAATGCCACCGCTGCCTTCGACACGCGAATACGCAGCTCAATGTGTAGCTGCTGATCAGTCGACATCACACTCCCAAGGTAGCAGAAGCGGGAGGTGGTTTCCAATACTTCAGCACCAATGCTGATTCGCGGCAATATTGAAGATTGCCCCTCCGGTGAAGGCTGAAAGAGACAGACAGTTTTGCTTGTGTTGATGGTGAGCCCGAATTTGGCCGCTGTCGAAGCCAGTGCACTAGTCATGTGCTGCAACTCATCCGCGCTGTGTGCGAACAACGCACAGTCGTCAGCAAACAGCAACATACGGATAGTTGTCTCACAGACTAGAGTTCTCGCACCGAAACGACGGATGTTCAGCAACCCACCATCAATACGGTGCTCCACACGAACACCGTAAGCACAAGCGGCATCAAAAGCACAAGACATCATTGCATGAAGATATATATTAAACAGGGCAGGAGCTAAGACACAGCCTTGCTTCACACCAGTGACAACTGCAAAGTCATCCGAGGTCTCTCCACTCAGCTGCACCCTCGCTCGCATACCACTGTGCAGACATTCAATTGAACTTACAAACTTACGCGGGCAACCAAACTTACCCAACACCAGCCACAATGCCTCGCGGTTCACCGTATCAAATGCCTTGGTGAAATCAACAAAAAGCGAGTACAATGGCTGGTGTCGTTCTCTGCACTTCTCCTGCAACTGACGAGCCGCAAACACCATATCTATAGTGCTGCGACCCGAACGGAATCCACACTGCTCTTCCGCCACGTTAGGTTCCACAACCTGACTGACGAGGCGGTTGAGCAGGATTCGGGCAATCACCTTGCCCACACAACTCAGCAAGTTGATGCCACGATAATTCGTGCAACATTGCTTGCTCCCTTTGCCCTTGTACAGTGGTAGCACAAGGGCATCCTTCAGCTCAGGAGACACCTCCTCAATCCATACGCGTTGCACCAAGTGGTGCAGCGCAGTCACCAACGCGGGTCCGCCGTGTTTCAATACTTCAGGCGGGATCCCGTCGGCCCCGGCACACTTGCCGTTTCGCAGCTGAGCAAGTGCTCTCTGCGTCTCATCCAGTGTCGGCGTGTCCGCCAGACTCGCCTTCACATCGTGCTGCTTGAGGCCGTTCAATGTAGGCCAGTCGATCTCTGAACGGTTGTTCAAGAGACAGTCAAAGTGTTTTCGCCAGATCTACATTATGTCTGCAGTCTGTGTGCAGGTAGCGCCTGAACTACCATCGATCAGTGTCCTCAGCGGCTCCAATCTCGGTCCATACACCGCCCTCAAGGAGTCAAAGAATTCCTTGTGTTGGCGGCGTTCGGCGTAGCATTCCATCTGCTTCGCCTTCTCCGTCCACCATGCATTTTTAATGCGACGGAGCTCTCGGGTCAGTCGCCGTCGAAGTTTGCGAAACTGACTACTCTTCCCCAAGTCACTGGGGTCTGCCACATGTGCAGCAAATGCTGCATTCTTCTCACACAAAATGCGCCAATCGTCGCATTGTTGTCATCAAACCAATCAGGCCGCTTACAGTTTGCGCGCCCGATGGTCTCCTCGGCAGCAGCTGTCACGTGGTCGCGAATGTGGTGCCACAGGTCGCCCACTGTGGCTATGCAGTCCACATCACACAGGCGTGCAGCCATCGCCTTCTCCAGCTCAATACGTTTCGCCACAGTACCGAAGGAGAGAATGTTAAATTTACGCCGATTCACGGCTGGAGTGTATGAAAATATATGTACAGTTTGGTCCGCACCAATTTGTTATCAGTGCCACACTCAGCTCTATGCAGTACACGTGTCATGCGCACTTCACGCATATCACGCTGACGTACGGTGACATAGTCGATCAGGAGAGCGTGACCACTCCGTGGGTGTGTCCAAGTTGCTATATCACTCGCACTCAGTGCAAACCGAGTGTTCGTGATCATCAGGCCGAGTGGCACACAGTGAGAGCAGCCTGTCACCGTTCGCATTCGCTGAACCGATAACATTTGTCCACAACGATGCACCATGCCCAACGCGCGCGTTGAAGCCCCGCAGCCGAAATAGTCGGTCGCTCCTCAACACAGACCGTACCACGGAGGATAGCTGGGTGTAGAATTGATCACATGTGTCATCAGGATAACACATGGTCGGACCGCATGTGCTTATAAATGTGGCAAACTTACCTCTTCCGAGTCGTAGGCGAACAGTCATCAGTCGTGCGCTGATGCCTGTTGGTTCACCCACGAGCTGACCATGGAGGCGATCGGATATTGCAAATTCGACCCTATGATCACCTGGTGTTGAGGCGGCGTTGCCCACCCAGTAGAATGTGTAGCCAGCACCTGCTGCATGCAACTTACCTTGCTCAGCGAGCCGAGTTTCACTGAGCGCCGCAATATCGATGTGGCAGCGCACTAGTTCCATCGCGACCAGTGCAGTGCGTCGCTCCGGGCGCTCGCTGGAGTTCCGGTCCAGTAGTGTGCGCACGTTCTAGCACCCGATGCTGAGTGCTTTGCGCGCAGGCATACGATTGCATTGGTGGGCAATCGCATGCGAGGTGGTCGTTGTGCTTCGGAGGTTTGCTGGAGGGAATCCACCCGGAGCCTTTGGCTCAATAGCCTGACCCACAAGGCAGTGGGTGATTTGGAGGTTTGCTTGAGGGACTCCACCCGGAGCCTTTGGCTCAATAGCCTGACCCACAAGACAGTGAGGAGCAGATCCAGCTCGGGAATGTGATTGCAGAGACAGATTGGGAGCTGCTTGACGGCCGTCACACACAGCCTTGGAGGTATTGGAACGATTTATATATGTTTTGCGACCGTAGTAGGATACACCTGCGACCACGGCCAGACACAGGTGGGTTTTGGCGGGTTTGCACCAATTTGACCAGGGGCTGCCTGGCTTGAGGCGGGCAGTAGCAAACCATTGAACACCCGGAGGTGCCCTCCCACTGTCAGAGACAATGCGTGGCGCTCGTGCTCTACGCCAATCGAGCTGTGAGCTTATAACCCATGGACCTGTTGTTTCCCATGGCTAGGTTTTACGGGAAGAGGGCCATGGACCACTTCCTAAACTCCGAAGAGGATGGACTAGGATACTGGCAGGGCGCCCACACCTGAGAGGAGAATGACTCGGGTCCTCAGCCAAAGCCTTCGATTAAATGAACACCCGAAAGGCAGTGGATCTAGCACATGGTCAGTTCACTGACTTATACGGATTGGTGTCCTGGATCTTAGCAGGGAGAAGGGGTTAACCCAGCTCCCACCCCGCGGTCGCCACGACGAGGCGCCCAGGACATGAGCCAATGGTACAACAGTAGCAGCAGTGGGTAGACCATCTGTCAGGATCTAGCCACCACCAGCCTCAGCGAACCATAGGCTCTCCCGCCATATATATATATATATATATATATATATATATATATATATATATATATAATGATAGTTCGAACGTACTGAGGAAGCGTCGAGTGCTAGCACAATGCAGTTTTGCATGTAAGGATGCTAATCTTTTAAAAAGTGACTCAGGGTCATACAACAGGATGTAATAATGATGTACTTGCGCAAAACAAAGACCAACTGGATACACATGGAGATGTCTAAGCGATTAGGTCTGGTTGCGAGCCTGATCTTAAAACAATGCCTGAGAATTGCAGCTGCTAGAACAGTTACGGTGACGCCAATGGGATAGTAAATTGCACCTCACTAACAAAGAACAGACACATTGCGAGGAAGAAAAACTAAGGTAGAAGTGACAAACTTTTAGGCCGAGAGAAACACTGTCGTGTCGCCGTTTGCGAAATTCTTCTTCGATCAACCGTTGTCGGTCGATGCGATCGCACTCCTCCAATTCCTTTGAGTCCACATAGCCATTCTCTTCGTTATCGAAGTAGTCATTCTCCGAAGCGGATTCCATCCTTGAAGCTGATTAAGAAGGGATAACGAAGTTATGAATAATCGAAACGTGTTAAGACCAAAATATGAATGGCCAATGTACAGAGTGACACAAGGAACTCAGAAAGAAGTGGACATCTGCATATTGACAAGTAGTGACGAAAAGCGCGTGGCCAGCACATAAACAGGGAAGCTGTTATACAGGCATACCACACCGTTAGGAAAAGTGGTGCTCATTCGTGTCTTGAGATTGATGTAATAAGACGAATCCCTAAATCGCGTGCTATGACGTGAATGCAGTGCGATGAAGTCAAGGTCCGGCGAATGCGACCAGCTATGAAAACCTATCAGCTGAAACCACCGATTAAGGTCAAACGCACGAGGAAAGGTCCAATGATGAACTCACACCAGCTAAGTTTACGAAATGCGGCCAAGTTGTTCACTACCCGATCCCGGTCAGTGCATACATCACAAAGCGCACCGCAATGAGGTAGTTCGTCCTTGAAGTATTCTGCAAATAGTCGATGGCGACAGCTAAAGAAGGGAAGATTTCAGTTAGTGAGAATACCTATAGGGAGCGGTCATCAACACAATTCTTTGAAAAAATATAAATAAGGAAAAAAACTGGCAAAAACCCTAAACCATCAGTTTTATCTGATTTTAAAAGGTCTCTGAAATGTCCTAAACAGTCATCAATATGGCTATGAATATAATGCTGACTGGACATCTGCAGTCTTTTGAAGTAAAGAATGCGGTTTCAAGCTAGGCAGGTAGTGATTAAATGAAAAACGATTAAATGGTCAGTAAAACAATCAAAAGAAAAACGATGAAGAGCTATATCGCCCCTTCGTGGCGCGTGGACAGTAAGTAATAACCGGATTCATCATACTCGGAGACCTAACTGCATGCATAGGAGAAAGCTAGTAATTTACAATAACAACAGATGTCGGCACCAGACAAAGGAAGACAACTAGCTGACGTAGGGCCTACTGATCATCATGGAAGCTGCTTTTAATGAACGGACGTCCAGTGACATGACAGTTGTAATGTTGCGCGATCCAAAGAAGTGGAGGGAGTTTCGTGAACGATATCAGTGCCGGACGTCTAAAACGGTTAGTCTCGGATGTAATCGACGGCGTTCATTTGGGAGACCACCGATTAACGAACAGGGGCTCGGCTAAATTCTCTTACACTCTGGAACCAGTATAGAAGGCTCCGTGACTAGTTCCTGCGAGTTCGCAGAGAATGGTGTGGAAATCAAGACGGTTCTACACTAACAGCCCCGTTTATTTCACAAACAAAACAACCACTGGTTACCGCATTTCAGAAACTCCATGTGGAAAAGTTCTGCAAATGACAAACTGGACGAATAAGTGTGTGGGCGATTTGGCTAAGTTTGAACGGCCCAATAGACCTAATGCAGAGCGCTTTTCAGTTGGGAGTGTGCTTCGCGGTTTAAAGCGGCCAGCATTTGTAAAAGGTGAGTATGACGCACCATCAATCCTCATTATGGTCAAAGAACCATTCGGAGTGGTCTATCACATAACTGCGCCGGAACACCCTCTCTGAAGGCTAGCAGAGCGTTAAGTCATCATTATCATTATATGCGTTAGCTAGAGGTGGGTAACACCTTAGCTACTGTGCTGCAATACATAAAGGAAAAGGAAAATAAATACAACAGTTGCATGCCAGCTGAGCTAGCAGCAACGGACAGGCATCGCTTCGGTAAGCTACCAGCAGGCTACTATGCAGCAGCAAAAAAATAATTTACTGTGCGAAATTATAAAAGGCTAAATAGTGAGATCGTGGATGAAGAGGGAGGCTAAGAGGGATGGGGTGGGACAAAGAAACTCACAGCACGAAAGCCCCTGTCGGCTCCTAACCATATCAACAAGTGTATCCAGCCAAACGTGTTCATCACCTTTTGGACCCCAACCAGGGAGCCGAGACGCTCCAACCGAAGCCAGCTTCGAAGTGAGAGCCTTCATTCCTCTCGACCAAGTCATCGCTTGGCCACCTCTCTTCTTCTTCTATCCACACCCCGGCGCCCAAACAACCCACGTCGCGGGAGTCGGTGGGTTGTGATGCGCAACACGTGGCCGAACCATCGGAGCCTGGTGCGTGAAATAACGATGCTGAGCGGTTCAGTTCCTTTTCCTGTGCCCTAAACAAGGCGTCGAACACGCTCGTTGCTTACTCGGTGTTCCCACCAGATGTGAGCCAAACTGCGAAGGCACCGGTGGTCGAACGTAACTAGCCTCTTCAGGATCGCTACTTTAAGCGGCCAGGTTTCACAACCGTACAGTAGGGTTGAACGTACCGCTGCATTGTACACTCTACCCTTCAGAGTGACAGTGATGTCGCGTCGGCGCCATAAGTGGCGAAGGTTAGCAAAAGCACTTTGAGCTTTTGCTATACGGTTCGTGATCTCATCTTCAATCCCCCGGGCGCTGATACAACTTCCCAGGTAGTTGAATTTTTGAACGACTTCTAGCTGATCCCCACCAAGGGTCAGCGAAGGAGGCGATCCAGGCCAATCTTGGAGGAACGCTTTGCATTTTGATGGTGCAAAGCAAATCCCGAAGCGGCTGACAGCCAGTGCTAATCTGTCCAGTGCCGCTTGGCACCTTTGTGAGCTGTCACAGATTACCGCAATATCATCAGCATATCCTAAGTCAAGAAGTCGTTCTCCTGGGATCAGATCCACATCTTATAAGTCGCGTCCTGTAAACGCGAGCTTCATGACTTCATCAATAGCGAAGTTGAAGAGGAAAGGTGACAGCGGGCATCCTTGTCTCACACCGCTGGAGATATTAAAGGGCAACGATAGCTTGCCGTAAGCCCTCACTCTGCCCGTGCTACGCGCGTATAATGCTCAGATAACATTTACATATTTCTCAGGTACACCTTTCCTGAGTAGACAGTTCCAAAGGGCACGTCTATCCACCGAATCGAATGCGTCTTCGATATCGAGGAACACAGCGGTGGGCCGCCAATATGTGTGACCGTGTTCCAACAGCTGACGCAAGGTGAAGATGTGGTCAATGCAGCCACGAGCTCGAGGAAATCCAGCTTGCTCCTCACGAATCTGGCTTTCACGAGTGCCAATCAGTCTGTGAAGGATGACAGATGCAAGCAATTTGGAGGCGATGCAGATCAGACTGATTCCACTATGGTTGCCGCATTCCGAACGCGAACCTCCCTTGAAAATTTGGACTATGACGGAGCGGCTCCAGTCGGTTGGGACAGTTTCCTGCTCTCACAGTTTCACTAGTAATGCGTATAAATCATCCACCAGAGCAGGTCCCAGAATTTGAAGAGGGTTGGAGGAAGATCATCTGGTCCTGTGGCTTTATGTAACTTCAACAGTCCGATCTCATGTTCGACTTCTGAGTGAGAGTGTGGATCCAAAGGGACAGCCCAGGGAGCGGGGCGATCAGTGGTCGGAGAGAAACCTAACAACTCTGACCGATTAAACTGCCTTTCAAAGTGCTCAGCCCAACGCTCCAAGCGTTTTAACAAGTTGTGGATAGGCTGTCCACTCTCGTCACGTATAGTTTCACTAACACCAGGTCTCCTGCTGCCCGTTTCCCGTATCAGCCGGAATAACTTACGATGGTTAGCAAGAGCAGCGGCCACTTCCGTCTCTGACGCACGATGAGACCACCAAGATTTGCAATCTCTCTTCAGGCTGGCACGGAGTTTTGCCCGGAGCTCTTTGCGAGTTTCGTTGTGTTCGCTTCCAGTCGGAATATGCTGGCGAGCATCGATAAGTTCCAGAGCGTTAAGGCTATTGAATGTATCAGAAGCGCACACGTGGTTCCTCAAAACATCCGAGGTGTCAACACATCGGCAAAGGACAACATGTACAACGCTGCGAGGTTATCAGAGCTATCGAAAGGCTTAGAGATAGTAAACAGATAAGCAATGTGTTGGGTCGTGGATCTGCAGTGACCACAAAACAGCACTCGCATGCAATCAGGCCACCAACCAAATAAGATTGGTGTTTGCACATGGTTGTTCCACAGTGGGTTCGGCGGTATCGTAGCTGGCCGCCTGTGTTGTGGGATAAGCTACGGTGGTTGAATCTCATTCTTAGCAAGCGGATGACCGCTGTTCCCAATATGAAATGTCCGCTTAGGCTGCACCTAAGTAAGCGGAGGATGAGATGGCAAATAAACACACAAAGTGGACCGAAGAACGGGGCTGTGTAGTTGAAAGCGGTCTTTCGGAGTGGGAAACTCCGGATGTGTGGGAGGACGTCTGGCTTGAAGATGATGTCGCTTCAACTCTAACGTACGAAAGTTGTAATGATACCGGTGAAAGAGTGCAACAGTAAGAAGAATTAGTAAAGGTACTAATAAACGCGATTAAATACATGCGTCGGCGGGAGCTTATGGTCGACAGCGTTTCATGGAATGAAGTATATGAAAATGCCGAAAGCTCACACAGTGGATTCCACGTAGTTGATCATCTGATCAAGGTCGGCTTTTCGATACTCTTGGCTCGATGTGCGATTCGCACCTCGCTGCAAATGGGAAGAAGAGACGGATGAATTCCCGGAGAAGAAAATGAAGGTTAGACATAAAGTGTGTTGTGGGAACGGAACAACGTTCGAGACAAAATAGGTACAGAAGAGAAGAGCGCAAAGTCTAGGGGGCACAAAATAACCGAATCCGTACAATCAACAGTACAATAGCTGATAATCCCCATGCACAAACGATCGGTGCATATCCGCGGATTCCAGCAAGCTCTTTTGTCGAAAGTAAAGGAAAGCAGCTACACAGGTAGGCAAGAAAGTCGGGTAGAGTAGAATTCACCCGTGGACTAAAGTTCATAGCTGGCTGCTGGTCGCGGCGGCCGACCGGTATGAGTCATGTAGATTGTAACCCACCGGTCACCGGTTCGTATCTGCGTGGGTGTGGGCGAGCTCGCAGCTCCCCAAGCAAGCGCGACTTGTGATGGTCGCATGGCAGTGAAGAGTTGGTACGGCAAACCTGCGTACTGCTGATACCATATTGGTAGATTAGGTAATGGCGAAGGCCATGTTTAAATGGACGCCAATGCACCAATAAGGATGAAAGATAAATTTTGTTTGAAAGCGGTAAATAGGCTACAAAAGTTGTGCCTTTTGGTACCAGCGCTAAGACAATGTTAGCAGTAATGTCAGCCTTCGCGGCACATATATAAGCAATGCTCAACTCTGTTTAACAGACAGTACGAAATGCACCATAAGGAGAAACTATGACGACAAGCTACAAAACGATTGCTGCGCCGCTTGATGAGAAAGGGAAGTCAAGTCCAAACTGGTGCAAAAGATATCGACAAACAACTTCAGACGGTCAGTTACAACAGGCTCAGAGAAGTGTAGTGGATCCAGTTATACTGACTCATATTGCTAAACAGTATTAGTAGGGAAAGTATATCAGTAAAGTAATAACGATAAGTTAGGAGGAATAAATTATAATAAAGTCGCTAGATGGGATAATTGAGTTAGGAATACGGGAGCTTATGCAAGAAGGCTACTGACCTCCTGGCCATGCCATCAGATGGGGGCAGCTAACCGAGGATGCGGCCAAAGCCGAGGTCCTCGCCTAGGAAGGTAGCAAATATCAACCCCGTCGGGCATTTCAGTCTCTTCGTTCCCCGCTGAAACATCATCAGCGGTCGCTTGGGAAGCTCACACAGAGGCATCATACCAACGAATAGCCACCACGCAACGATCAGGGGTGGCATTTGAGCAGGAATGCCGCGAGATCATCCGCATATACGCGGTTCCGAATTGATGGCGCATGGATTACAAGCCGAAAACCTGAAGCACTCCACCACAGACCGGAGCATTAAACTAGACTCCACATAGACGCGGTATCGCCAAACGGCCCACACTGGGGCGACAGCAGCGAAAAACCGGAGTGCGCATGACTCAGAAGGAGTTAGTAAACGAAGTACAAAGGTAATGTGACTAAGTATATGCTCTGCATGGAGTTATATGGTGAAGTGCATGATTTTAGGACATCAATGAGAGCCGAAACCGTAGGAAAAACCCTGAAGATGAGAGAAGGCAGGAGAAATGATAAAAAGACAGCGCGCTAAGTTACCTTACTATCAATCAATACGTTAGCTAGAGGTGAAAAACAAGTGAGCTAATGCACCACCCTAAAATCCAATTAGGTGATAGTGAAAAAAAGATGATCAGGAAAAATAACGACAAAAAAGGCAATAATATACTACGTTGCTTCCTTGTAGCGCAAGCAGTGAAATCGCCGTTGCAACGGGAGGCTAAGCGAGACGGAGAGGCACGAAAGCACAACACAAACGCTATTGAGGCTGGTTCTTCGCTGCACAAGTATCTCTAAACAAACGTGTCTATGGTTTTTCGGACTCCAACCTCGCAGTCGAGAAACAAGTGCATTCCTCTTGACTAAGTCATCGGATGGCTTGTCCTCCTTTTCCATCCAGACCCCAGTCGCGAAAACAGCGCACGTCGTGGCAGTAGGTGTACTGGCATACCTAACATATGGCTCCGTCATCGGAGCGTGGTGTGTAACAGTGCTGAACGGTTCACTTGTTCTTCCTATGCCATAAACAAGGTGGAGAACATGCTCATTGCTCCCGCGGAGTTCTCACCGGATATGAGCTAAACTGCGAAGGCCCCGTAACTCATTTTATGTCAACAATCGACCCGAAGCAGTCAAGAGAATTCCATTTCATTACGCCTCACAGAACCCAGATGCTCGTGTCCATTTGACACTCCTAGTATATAAAGAGCTAGATCTGGATTTAAGCAGTGAAGAATCGGTGAAATATGCTTCCGCATATCGTTATATAAACGTGAACGTTCGCCGATACAAAATTGCATGACAGCAAGTAGATGCCCATACGGGGACTGACGTTGATAAATTGACCGTCTTCAATGGGTAAGCGGTGAAAGTTTCCATACGAGACTATGACGAAGAACACTTGCAGAGGTAGCAGGATCAAGTTTCTCGAAGTGTGTAAAGTAGTCACAGAAGCTGCATGCATAACAGGTGTCGGAATAAATCAGCCCTCAATATCGAAGTGCTGTAGTGAGCGTAAGAAGGATGATTTAGAAAGAGCGGGCACAATTGTTTGGTGAGTGAGTGACAAGGCAGTGAATTGAGTTGAATACAGTGACCCGAACCTTCAGACCTAACAAAGCACGCACCGAAGAACACTGTTTGGTTAGAAATACGACGGCATTTCGCTCCTGCTGCGCATAATAGATGCGACAGTGGGCTCGAGCGCCGTCTCGACCGGCACGACCAGATTCTTGGTAATAGGCTGCCATACTTTTGGGAACTGTCCAGTGGAAAACGAATCTGCAAGAGAATAAAGAAACAGAGGAATAATGCAATCCAATTTGAATCTCGCTGTCGAACTACATTACAACAATCGGAGACGAGAGTGAACACGGACATAACGGTCCGGAAATCGGGACACCTTTCTAGGACGAAGCAAAAAAGAGGAAAGGGTGATAGGTGAAGCAGGACAGCACTTCAGTACTATCACTGATGAGCAATCGTACTTACCGAACATTGGAACGATCAACACCCATACCGAAGCTGATAGTAGCAGCAACGACGGGAAACAGTCCAGAGGACCAGCCAAGTTGCACCGATTCACGATCCGCTTTCGCCAAACCGGCGTGGTAAGCGCGCGTTGGGAGACCACGGGTTGTGAGGCATGAGGCCATGGACTCGCAGTCAGCCCGAGTGCGACAATAGATGATGCCCGAACCAAATTTATTCTAAACATTCCTGATTCCAAAAATGTCCAGAACCTACCCACGAAGTTTGCACCGTTCCATCCCAAGAAAGGCATTTCGACGCAAAATGAAAAGCATCTTCTTGAGGATTTTGGCATAAATCCACGAAGACGACATCATAAAACAAATTTGCTCTGAAAACACCGCACTTAAAAGTGCGAAGTCCAGCCAGCACTTGACCAGCGTCCGCAATCCTTGAAAACGCCCCAAGTTTCAGGCTTGCTATGATGTCTTCCTGAACACGCGGGGTGGCCGTAGCAGTTAGAGCTATGCATGGGACGGTAGGAAATAGATGGTGGCGGGCTTTCCCTAAACATAAATAAGCCGGTCTAAAATCATGTCCCCACTCTGAGACACAATGAGCCTCATCAACAACAAAGTAGCTGATAGCATTCTTCTTTTGAAGCGCAGTAATGACAGATGAAAATGCCGCAGTTTGAATTTGTTCTGGAGTTACGTAAAGTAATTTTAGGTCTTCCTTGAATTCAGGTGAGAAGCTGCGCAATCGTTCTATGATCTTCTGCCGTTGATTGTCGCTCAATCTCGAATTGATTGTAGTTGCAGAAATACCGACTCGCTTCAGGTGAGCTAACTGGTCACTGATCAATGCCAGCAAAGGAGAGACAACCAGAGCAATTCCGGGATGACAAAGAGCAGGAAGCTGGAAGCATAGTGATTTCCCAGAGCCAGTCGGCATCGAGATGAAAACGTCATGACGTCCTGAAAGTGAGATAAGCAACATCTACACGTCCTTACGCTCAGCAACACAATGGATGGCGCGTTGTTGGAGAGGACTTTTGAATGTTTTCAGGCCAAAGGTCGAATTCAGAATACGTGAAATACGTTGCTCAGACTTGTCATTGGATAACATGTCTGAAAAGGTGATTTAGGATGAGTATGCGAAAATAAGACTCTTCAACTTAAGATGGAAAAGACGAATCCACGGAACAGCAATAGAATAGAAACAAAGTGGACGTCGAATGTAGGGGAAAATTCTTAAACGAATCCCGCGGTCTGAAGGATCACAAGTCTACTTTGTAATCCGAGGGCGCGGGTTCGAGTGTGCGTAGGGGACCGGGCGACCCTCGAGGTATTCTCACCCTACGCGCGATCGTTGGTGGTTGCGCAGCAGCGAAGTATCGGTAACACGTACCGGCGTACTGCTGATATTACTTGTAAATAAAGGCGACTATTGAGTAACAACAGATAAAACGAATAAGTTGAACAGAATAAGATTCTGCCCAGTGTTATAAAGCAAAACAGATAAATCCGCAAACGTAATCAATCGTTGAGATGACAGTACTACTAATAAGAAATGTATTGAAAGCAGACATCCGATGATTGGAGGGGGAAAACATGATGTACATGATAATGTGTTGGCTACGAGGAAATATTTTAACTTTATGAGTTTTATCGCAGTCAGCACTGTTTCAGGACACCTGTGTAAGTCTGAGCAGCCTGTCAGCAAGTAGCAAAAAGTGACAGGTGCGTTCAATTGGTAGTAGTTATGGTGTGTAAGGTTGAGTATCACAAATTTATTCTGTTTACTGCGTTAGTTATATAACGGGAAGTGAAACTTGTCAAACGAAGGCTCAAAATACAGCATCGAACTGGCACGAGTGGATAAATATGACAAGCGGGTGGTACTGAAGTTCGATATCAATGTGAAACAGTCTTCACACAATCCAAAAGAGTTGCACTCGACGATCCAATGCTATAATCGGTGTACTTAGTAACCGCATCACTACAAAAGTGCTGATTGAAACCGGATGATACCACGTACCCGAGTTATCAAGCACGCAACTGGAATGACGTCAGATCACTGGAAAATTCATATGGTTAGCACACAGTTGTTAAGTTTCGCCGGTGGCAATTGTTTCGATAATGTGCAGCATGAGACCATAAATTAGATCGGCGGCATCCGTTTCCGGATTTGCCAATTACTGTGACCTCCATGCGACAGCCATAGGACGCACGAGCCTACAGATAGACCATGGATGGCTTCCGCTGCACCACCCACAGTTTCATGCAGACACCCCATATCCAGTGTGAACCCGAAGGAATGAGACCGGAAGGCATGTGGATATGAGCCACATTCCATCAACGGAGCTTGCACAGCAGCAGCACTCCTGTCTATGCAAGTGGAAAATCATACATACCAGACGTACACAAGGCGGTGGCTGGGTCGCAACCCGTTCCACACAGGGTGCATGGAACCACTCATAGAGCCCAGCACTGTTGCGAAGAATGTGCACATCGTCCCCAGCAACTAAACACAATCCCCTGGAGCCAGCATAATTAAGGTGGAGGCTTTTCGACAGGTAGATACCTTGCCAATATTCGCATCAAGCGCAGCCAGGCAATGCATTTCACACGGAAGCTTAAATGTATCAACTGTGCGTCCGATAGACTGAAACGACAAAGCACATCATATGCCTCTTCATCCTCAATTTTGGCATATCGGGGTCATCAATACGTAACCATTTAACGTATGGCTGCAAATCGTCGTTTAGATACACTATTTAGACAAGATTTCCTTAAGCATCACCAATTTTTAGTTGTTCTTTGGTGAATGACTTCCTCTCCCTTCATGGGTGTTATGGTCCAGCGATTCGGTTACGCTCGTTGGTTCAGTAAGGACACTTGTATTCAAGACGCCACACAACCGCCACAAATCGGGTCGGTTTATGAGAATCTGATCGACAAACTATCTACATCGTGTTGATAAGCTCAGTAACTTCGAAAGTAAGCAAGAAAAGCCAAATGGCTGTAGATTGCAGCCAAATTACCGACTAATATATCCACCTGAACACCTATCATTTGCGTGGAATTGATAGTCCTATCGACAAAATCCATCGTTACTTTGTGCATATCAGTTTTGACATGAAGAATGCATATCATCAGGTACGTACTAAAACAAGATAAGTGTGATTTATTGCATCAGAAGAATGCGAAAAACTTTATTAAGTCTGTTGTATCTCATTAATGGGTTATTGACAAGCTAATAATGAAAGCAAACTTGAGTGCGACGTTCGCTTTTAATATCATCAGGATCATAATTGGAAATTAAGGAATTCGATCAGATGTGCAGTCTCATTCAACAAGTGCAAGATCATCACTTATGCAAGAAATATACGACTGTTAGGATGAGTTTCCAACGAGGCTATTCGACCAGATGCGACCGACCACAAAGCTATCGATAGGTTGAGTTGAACACGACCTCAAATCAGGACAACACGTGGCGACGTTGTTTGTGGGTCCCATACTTCGATAAACTCAACGACAGGTTTCCCTCTCTCTCTGCATCGGTGCAGGAATAGTTCAGAGATTAAAAACGCAATAGAAAATCACATTGCTATTTCTACTGACGATTCGCACCTCAAATACATAAACGGACGCCTCTGATATCGCGACTGGCTCCTGTAGCAAGGGACAAGTGATCAGTCATCGTCGTCCCAAAAAACACGATTAGTGAACGGAACAGACTACAGTCGAATCGAAAGTTACGGCATTATCTTATAAGTAAACAATTTATCGCCATTAGGAGTCGGCGGTCCGTTCTGTTAACATTCAATCGTGACAGAAAGAATAAGCTAAAAAGCGACGAAATCCAGCGTTGGCGCGTCCATCCCTGGTGCCATAGACTATAACATTGCCTGTCAACGTAAAAAAGGACAACGGGGTCATCTACGACTGCTAGGTGTTTCTTGTTGGCAACACTGCTTCATGAATGATTTCAAACTCTTTTGCACCGATCATGTTCAGATATTAGGACTGTAACTCGAAGCTGGTGACCTTTGGGATGTTAAGCCGAGGGATCTGCCCTTAAACCACAGCCACGAAGGACAACGCTTGACAAAAATTACAATTTGTCCACGTAACTAATTAAGTGGTTCAATTGTTTGAAAGTTGCTCACGTTAGTTTGGGTTAACATACACATGCGCCTTTCCGGCACGATACCCCACTGGCTACCAGAAGCCATTTACGGACTCTGCACACGTTTGCATCTTCCCTAACCTTGGTAACTATCATGCTGCCCTTGATAATTAGCATAACAGCCCGTCTGATAGGAGAAATGGGCAACAGGTCACACGCGAAGAGAGTGGGCAACCGATCCACAGCTTGCCAAAATGTTTGGAGCGTTGGGCCGAACACTATGAAATGCGATGTTATGAACCTGGGTTATCAAGTTCTGTTTCGGTCATTGATTGTCCTACTCCCTGAACCGTCCCCTTAGACTTGTCCGCCCGCGCAGAAGTCGTACGTGAGATCAGACGGTCAAAAATGAGTAAGGTCGTAGGAGCAGGTAGGCTCCCTTGAGCTCTTTTCAAATTCGGGAGATATGCTCTGGTGTACAAGTTACACAATTCACTAGTGAAGCCGTGGGAACAGGAGTGTCCCAATAGACAGTAGCCGTTCAGTCATAACCCCAATTTTTAAAGGAAGCAATCATGCGAAATCAGCCTGATCTCTAAACTGCTTTTCTCTTTCGTCCTCCATAGACTGACTGGCACCTGCGAAAGTTAGATTTGTTAGCAACAAAGCGGGGTTTCGTCGAAGTCGCGGCTGCATTGACCACATTTTCAATTTAGGCCAGCTGTTGACACAACGCCATACCTATTGGTGGAGAGCTTTGTCTACTTGGGAAGTTGCATCACTGCTGGCGGGGCTATTGGAGACGAGATTTCGATGCGCATCTCGAGAGCACGCCTCGCTTTTTCTAGACAGGCATTTGTGGCGTCGCCACGACATTCGTCTCTCCATCAAAGGGCGGGTCTATTGTGCAACTGTTCGCGCTGTACTGTTGTACGTATGCGAGACCTGGCCCATTCGTAAAGATGACTTGCGCAGGCCATCCGTCTTCGAGCACCGCTGTCTGCGGTCCATTGCCCGTGTGTGGGGGCAGCACCACGTAAGCAATGTGGAAGTTAGACAGCGTGTCTTGGGACGTGGAAGCCACTCGCTCGAGGAGCTCATCTCACTGCATCAACTGCGGTGGTTGGGACACGTATTGCGCATGCCTGTCCAGCGTTACCCCCGTCGTACGTTGTTTGCACTTGCTAGACAAGGCTGGAAGAGACGGTCTGGTGGACAGCCTACAACATGGATAAGCTGCAAGAAAAAGTTGACGAAACAATTGGCCTCGGCCGGTTGTGGTCGACTACCTGGTTGGGGTCCGAGAGATGAGGGTACTTGCTGGTTGAAGACCTTGGAAGTTATGGCTCAAGATCGATGTCAATGGCGGACGTGTGCATCAGTGTGTTGCGGTGTCCCTTCTTCCTCCCCCTAAAAAAGAACAAACTGAAAAAGATTTCAAAAACTGTGAGTGGTAAACTTGACAAAAAAGCATTTCTTGTTGCTCTTTTCTTATTATTCATATTGTTTTCCTATTCAGCCATGATTCCGATGGCACAATATCTGTACCACAGATTGTGTATTATATATATATTTGTTGGCGACCCACCGTAGTCGTTTTCCTGGGCATCAAAGGTACCTTCGATTCAGTGGATCGATGTGCCCATTGAGACTGTCTACTCAGGAAAAATATGCCCGAAAAATATGCAAATGTCGTAAGAGCGCTGTACGCGCATAGTTCACGCAGAGCGATGGTTTATGGCAAACCGTCTCCGCCCTTTAATATCTCCAGCGATGTGAGACAAGGTTGCCCGCTGTTACGTTGCCATTTTAACTTCACCATTTACGAAGTCATGACCAACGGGTTCACTCGACATGACTTGGGTGTGTAGGTGCTGCCTGGTGAGCGACTTCTTGACTTAGAGTACGCCGAAGACATTGCCCTAATCTGACAGCTCCCAAACGTGCAAAACAGCACTGGATAGATTAGTGCTGGAACGCAGGAGCAGAAGTGA